TTAGAGGAAAGTCCTCATCTCAAAACTCGATCCTAAATAGGATAAGTGATAACATTACCTCAATTCTCAAATTGGGTACTCTAAAGAACTATATTGCTTATCAAGTCATCAATGTGTGGAATATATCTCTTTCTTCTTGTGGTTCTACACCGGATTAAAAGAGGAATGCCTAGTGCAATGTCAGCCTACGGCGAGCCCCGGACTTATGTATTATTAGGATCCAAAATTTTGTATTACTGGAGGCCTCTTAAAATTTTAGACCTCATATTTGACTAATGTCTTAGAAAATATTGGGCCTATTAGGGCCACCTGTGTCAACCATCAATGGCAAGATCACCAGAATTGCTTCATAAAGCCCGTTATTTTTTATTCTTTGTTTGGATTAGGTGTTGTATGAGTCATTCCTTGTTGGACTTAGCCTTGTACTGTTCTTTCAATTGCTTTGGGCTTATTGCAAGCTTTGTAACCCAAACATGTTTGGGTTTGGGCCAAAGGCCCTTTTCTGTAAATTTTTCTTCATCAGTATATCTGCTTCATTTTTCAAAAAAAAAAAAATCTATGAAGCATACGCTTTTTACATGCTTTAGAGCAAGGCTCGTCGACACTTTGCAGCTACGGATTTTTTATTTTATTTATTTTATTTTAGAAGGCAAGAAGGGTACTACAAAATTCACCGAAAGTACTCACTAATTAAACTATCGAGACATCTGCACTCACCACTGAACATCCAAACATTTGCTGTGGCTACATTTAAATGTTAAATTATTGGAATGTCATCAATAGACTTTGGCAAACGGAAGAGGACATTAATAAGTTGCTTAGTCTTATTAATACATATTTATCTCTTTTGTTAGTTCGTATATTTCATTTTTCTCTTGGGGGTTCTAAACAATGCCACCTCCTCTAGTTGGATATCTGTTGGCAAAAGAAAAAAAAAAAATAGTTGGATATTTGAATTTTAATACAAGAGGACAGTTAGATACATTCGCGCAAACTACTATATTTATGTTAATTAATATATTTTTTATTTTCATAAAACTTTAAAACTTAATATTTTAAGGCTAGGTCAGCCTTTAAAGTTATATATATATACACACACACACATACATATATATAACTTTCTTCATAATTACTTTTTTGGTTTTCGGCATTATTAAGTTTTAATTAAATTAAAATTATAAAATTTGAGTTTTAGTTAATGTGTGAAAGAAAGATGCTAACGTTTTATTTATATATATATATATATATAAACAAAAAAAAAAGGAAAAAAAAAAAAAAAGAATTTTGTTTAAAAAAGGAAAGAAAATAGTCTATTCATGTAAGTTTTTTTTTTTTTTTCCCCTCTTTCTTAATTGCTCACATAATATTGAGCGCCCATATATATATAGAGAGAGAGAGAGAGAGAGTTAAAAATCATAAAATAAAATAAAAATAAAAGGAAAATTGAAGGTAATATGTACTGTAACAAATGAAAGAAGGAAGGTTATATTTGTGTATAATAATATATATATATATATACACACACACGAGATGAAATAATTTAAAATGATAATTTAATCCTAAAAATTTAAGTGTTAAAGTCTAAAATATATATATATATTAATTATTACCTTTTATGAATTGTAGCTTTGGCTATTGTCCCAAGCAGTCATGTAATACAAAAACCATATAATAAACAAAATGTTCTACTAGACAAAGAAAAAACAAGATAAAGTGCAACATATCTCCTTAAACTATGACTTAACAAATGTACCCTCGAAATATAAAAGTTACAAATAATCCTTCAACTAACAATTTTAGGTGCAAATTATGTTAAAATGGCAGGTGACTACCCAATTTAAATTAAATGACCATAAAGCTTTTATAAAAATTAAAAGACCTTATTGCCCTTCTTAGAATCTTTAGAACCCCAACCAAACATGCCCTATTTGCATGTCCCATAAATTCTTAGCCTTGAACGGAACAGTAAACTTCAGAGACCAAACCTGTGAGCTTCAGAGATCAAACCAACAAATTGTATAAGATGCTAAAAGGAGGAACAAAATTGGGAAGATTAATATTTGGATGAATGAGTATTAAAATAATATCAAAAGATCTTTTTTTTTTTTTTTTTTTGTTTTTTTTTGGGACACAAAAGAGGTTCTTAATGAAAACGAAGGGGTTATTATTAGAGAAAATTGGCGAGGTGACTCCTTTCTCACAGGCTCTCCCTCGCAAAAGATCTAAGTATGAGGGGCAACCAAACATTGAACTTAAAACTGGATTTCTTGCCCTTACTCTTATTTGATTCTAAACTTCATCATGGACGGGCTATCTGCACCTATATAGCATTGCCTTTGTACAGTTCTTTATTTTCCAGTATAAAGAACAGTGACAACCGGAAAAGGTTAAGTATAACAATTCAACCGGCGAGAAGCTCTGAGCATTAACGACTAAACCGCATAAATCAAACCGACGTCGACCCGAAAGCTTCAAACTCAATGACCACCGGCCCAACCGAAGATGAAAACAAGTGCAGAGCTACAATGACCCATCGGTGAGATCCGAACCGAAGCTGCATGCCAAGACAAGATAATCAAGAAAAATGGTATGGAGAGGTGTTTGAACAGAACTAGAGTTCCATTGAAGACCCAACTGAGAGCTCCGTATAGAGGGCTTGAGAAGCGACCAAACCCGAAGAGCATCAACGTTCAATCCATTGGAAAAGCTTCAGCGAACCTCAACCGTGAGTTTCAGACAGACCCAGAAACTTCAGCCATGAACTCCGGCGAGCCACAGTTTCAAACGACCTACATCGAAGTCTCGAAGAGCTTCAACGACCCAACAGTTTCGTGAGTGCAACACGACGCGAATGAATGAATAATTAATGAATGGAAGAGACGACGATAAAAATAAAATTTGGAAAAAGAAAATGAAAACATTGAATGAATGGAAGAGATAGGCAGTTAATGGTGATGTGTCTAATTGTTAGTGGTTCTTCAGATTAGAAGGGGCCACATCAATTAATCAACTTTAAAAGCATGCATGGTTAATGACCACGTTTTACTAAAGGGCAAAAACGACTTTATCAAATTCCGGCCGTGGAAACCGACCGGATATGTCTTCTCCGTCCTAAATTGCAATATTTTCATAGTTTGAGGGTGTTGTTAGTTACACAACGGGTATACTTCAAAGAAAAAATTCAAAACAAATTCATCTTCATATAATTATTAAAGTCAATAAAATTTTATATTTAAATAATACATATTAAATAATGTATGAATAATATAATAAAATTAGTAGTAAAAGTACTTAAACAACAGTATAATCGAGTAAATTTAAAAGTGATTAAAAAATAAAAAACGTTTTTCCAAATTACAACCCTAAACCTTTTTTAAAATATTCCTTATAAATAGAAACACATTATTTTCCGTGACTATGTTTACATGTGTGTTATTTATATCAGTGATTTGGATCAGATGGGTTCACTTAAAATCAATTATCAGTCCTCCCATTTCGTGAACCAACAACACTCTGGCTAGTTAATTTCTACTAAAATTACGTAAAAACACAAAAGCATACAAATCAATCATATATGTTAACGACGTGTATGTACAAGGCTAACCGCCGCTAGGGCTTTGTGTTCTTGCTAAAAAGAGAGGAGCCCTTTAGGTTTTGCAAAGCCATGTTTATACACACACACACACACACACACTAAGGTTATTAAACGATCTGGTGTTGCGCAGCTTACAGGTATAATGATGGTTTTGTCTCGATACCGTTGATGTCATCAAACCTTGAAAAGGAAACTTGTAGGATCCGTGTCATTTTGCAGCGAAACAAAACTTTAAAAAAACAAAAAATCACATTTACAAGATGTGCCTGACTTTCGTTAAAAATAAAAATATATATATTTAAAGAAATCGCTCTAAAAATATATAATTGGACTTTTTAGTTTTTACAAATGAAATTTGAAAAAATTGTCCTGTAGAATTTCACAAGTGATAATAAAACACTGGCATTTGTCCTAAATTAAAAGTTAATCAGACTCGCTTTTAACATACTACAAAGATAGAATTCATAGGAGAGTGGGGCAGGTGAGAAGTGGCGCTGATTAGGGTTTTTGAAATTAATTTTTTCTTCAATCTATAATCCATCTTTATATGTATCTCTTATACATATAAGTAGGAGTTGGATTAACACATCACACATGAAAAATGGGCTTCATTCATTTTTATTATTTTTTAAAATATCTAATTACATATTTTTTAAACACGTATCAATCTCTTCCTTACATGTTGTAAGACAAATATTGCCATTTCGTACTTACAACCTGATATTCTTAACCAAATTCTAACGTTAGGTTATGTCTTTAAATCATAAGTACTAGTTAATTGGCACAATAAAAATATGTAGTGAAACATGCAGGTGGTTGCATTAACAATTTAACACAGCACTTAATCTTTAACTTGATCTCCAGCTAAGACAATGATTCAGTTCAATTTTATAGAATTTAATGTAAAAAATGTATAATTTATGTGTTAAAAAAAATTAGTTTGCAGTCTCTATACACACACAAACACAAATCCCTGAACTGTGGGCTCGTGATTATTCTCATGCCAACTGACAAACTGGCATTTAGCAAATTAGTTTTGAAAATTATATGTACGTAATTATTAATAATTAACTTTTTTTTTTTTTTTTTTGGGAGGTAAGTAAGTATTGTATAAATGGTAAAACTTGGTATAACTTTACAAAGGATGCCAAAACAAAGGCCGGCCCACGATTTCTGTACAATTTCATTGTCATGCCTAGTCCAACACTTTGTCAAGAGTCAAATACATTTGGAAATTGAATTTCACAGGGTAAAGAAATTGATGATGCGTTAGTTTGAAGGATGTGTTTACAAACCAAGATTCGTGATATAACATACTCAGACAAAATCAGTGTAAATTGATCGATGCTAATCGTATATCAAACTTGAAAAAATATCACCTATGGAACGATACGGCAAACCATAATTTGAACAATTTGACTCTCCTAAAGATAGCTTTAAATTAAAATTTTAAGATGCTAAAATATTTACTCGCACTTGGACACCACATTGCCAAGCCATTCTGCCCCCTGGTCCGATTAAAACTAAACAAATATGCAAGTCCATCTGAACCTTTGGGCTCAGTTAGCAAGCTCAGATCATCCAGCCTCTGGCTGAATCAAACTCAATGCAGAACAAAGTTTCTGCAAGTTACGTCCCTGCCAACAAGTGCTAGAAGCATGCATATGACTACAGCCCTTATTATTTTCATAAAACTAAAAAAAGACCCTCTCTCATGAAGGGTGTCCCACTCCCTTCGACAGCCCTCAAATTATAGGGCATGCCACCTGTTTTTAACATTTTTCGGAGTTCCATACCAGACATTAAAGAGTTTACAAGATCAACAGAGACTACAAAAAGTGTTTATATCCACAAGATCAACAGAGACTACAAAAAGTGTTTACATCCAAGCAATCCATCTTCAGCGTCGCGCTTTATACTCTATAAGAAGAAAAAAAAACACTGCATCAAAAAATTAGTTAAATGATTCCACTGGTTATTCAAATTCTTACAACCACCACAACTGTAATACCATCTTTAATTATAAAGCAGATTACCCTCCACAACTGTAATCCGGCTATACTTTTTCTTATTCTAGCCTGGTACTAACAATGGATATAATCCTCTTGTCTCAAATCCTCTTTATTTTTTACTAAAACTTTCTGACAAGTACAAAAAGTTGCACTCTTATTTAACTGCCTATTCTAACTGTCCTCAAATTTTGAGAAGTGACTACTCTATCTGGATCTAATTTTTCATAAAATCAGTATTACTAAACAGTACAATATTACTAAAGTCGTAAACAATGATTAAATCGGAACTCACCATGAATGGGAATCTTCTTTTCTGAGGAGAAATCTTTTGAGTTTTGAGTGCGCAGCAAATGTCAGATTCGGAGCGTAAACAATCTCAGCTTGCATCTTCCCACCTCCCACACCCCTCGTGTGGATCAGTTTAGAGGCAGACACCAACTCTTCTTCTGTTGAAACAGAGATGGTGTCCATCCCCTGGAAAAGGTGCTCCATATCTGAAAGTTTCCCCTTACTTTCTCTGATTTTTTCCTTACACGCTTTCAAATCAACCCGAGCTCTCGCCAATTCTAGACGGACCCTCGCCTCGTTGACCTCAAACACATCCCTGAGCCCCTTCAAATCCTTCATCTCATTGGTGAGAACAATCGCCAATTCCAAATTGGCCATCTTCTCCTTGTTCTCAAAGGCTTTCTTTAACCCCTTCAAACGTTCCATCTCAACGGTGAGTTTGATGTACCTGCGTAGCTTACGAAGTGATAGCGGATTTCTCTTCTTTTGTTCCATTCTGAAGAGAATAATAATTGATCAGAACATTATAAACAAAAGTTATGCCCTATAGAAAACTCAAAACAGTCCAACAGTTAACATAAAAAATAAAAATAAAAATAAAAACAATCAGTTTTAGTAAATGGGGTATAACAATCTTATAGACTACTTGATCTCACATACAAATAAACTAGAATAGAAAACAGTCCAGGTAGTCAATTAACTTCCAAAAAAAAAAAAAATCTTATACAATAGATGTCACAATCTTAAAATCCAAATTGTTGTAAAACAAGAAGAAAATAAATAAGAACTCATTGCAAATAACCTTAAACTTAAGCCTCATTTATTAGTTTATTTTATTCACACACACACATATATATATACACACATTTACAAAAATATCTGAGTGCTTGCATAGTTCCTGACCACATGGCAGTAGGAACTTCAATTTTCTTTTTTTCCATTTAAAACACCCAACTCATGTATGCAATCCCAATGCTTTCATTTCATTTATAATCATATATTAACATATATAATATGAGCAATCACATCCCAGTTGGTTTTCTTTGCCTACTCCAAAGTAATCAAATATACTAAGACCAACTGAATTAAGATATTAAAATACTAACAAAAATAACCAATAACATATGAGATACATGTGATATATAATAACACCCTCTATTTTATAAAAGACAGATCAAATCACATTCCACAGGTCCTAGAGATGACATTTTCTCTGATATTTCACTTTTTAACTTTTAGTCTAAACAGAATACTAGAAATTACCACGATTCCTTCTTCTTTTTTTTTTTTTTTTTAAATGTAATATAAGATAAATTAAATGAGTATCCATAACAAAACATATTTTCATACTGTTAAGAAACAAAACACATTAGTCAACTTCACGTTTCTTGCCAATAAATCAAATCTAAAGAAACTTTAACTAAAAATATAAGAAAATCAATGATGTTATATCTGCTAAACAAAATAATATGTCTGTAATTCAATGAAAACCTTTACATTTCAAAGGTTATAATGCAATAACTAACTTATAAATTTATATCCATTTCAACAGAGATAAATGGAAAGAAAGAATATATATATATATATATATATATATATATATATGTGTATATATATATATATGTGTATATATATATATATGTGTATATATATATATATGTGTATATATATATATATATGTATATAGTTTATACTTTGTCTAGCTAAGGGTCCATAATCATGCAATCGCTGAGCAATAATAGGTTAATAAGTGTACATAAGTACAAAAGACGATGAATTTGAGTTCCTCAATAATGTCATTTCTAACCCTTATAAAAGAGCATTGGCCTTCTTTTACTGTCTAAAAAAAATGCAAACTGTTCTGAAGACAAATAGATGATCATCAAAGCAACCAAGGTGCAACCTAATCAACAAGTTATGGATATAAATATATTCTTTCTTTCCATTTATCTCTGTTGAAATGGATATAAATTTATAAGTTAGTTATTGCATTATAACCTTTGAAATGTAAAGGTTTTCATTGAATTACAGACATATTATTTTGTTTAGCAGATATAACATCATTGATTTTCTTATATTTTTAGTTAAAGTTTCTTTAGATTTGATTTATTGGCAAGAAACGTGAAGTTGACTAATGTGTTTTGTTTCTTAAGAGTATGAAAATATGTTTTGTTAGGGATACTCATTTAATTTATCTTATATTACATTTAAAAAAAAAAAAAAAAAAAAAAAAAAAAAGAAGGAATCGTGGTAATTTCTAGTATTCTGTTTAGACTAAAAGTTAAAAAGTGAAATATCAGAGAAAATGTCATCTCTAGGACCTGTGGAATGTGATTTGATCTGTCTTTTATAAAATAGAGGGTGTTATTATATATCACATGTATCTCATATGTTATTGGTTATTTTTGTTAGTATTTTAATATCTTAATTCAGTTGGTCTTAGTATATTTGATTACTTTGGAGTAGGCAAAGAAAACCAACTGGGATGTGATTGCTCATATTATATATGTTAATATATGATTATAAATGAAATGAAAGCATTGGGATTGCATACATGAGTTGGGTGTTTTAAATGGAAAAAAAGAAAATTGAAGTTCCTACTGCCATGTGGTCAGGAACTATGCAAGCACTCAGATATTTTTGTAAATGTGTGTATATATATATGTGTGTGTGTGAATAAAATAAACTAATAAATGAGGCTTAAGTTTAAGGTTATTTGCAATGAGTTCTTATTTATTTTCTTCTTGTTTTACAACAATTTGGATTTTAAGATTGTGACATCTATTGTATAAGATTTTTTTTTTTTTTGGAAGTTAATTGACTACCTGGACTGTTTTCTATTCTAGTTTATTTGTATGTGAGATCAAGTAGTCTATAAGATTGTTATACCCCATTTACTAAAACTGATTGTTTTTATTTTTATTTTTATTTTTTATGTTAACTGTTGGACTGTTTTGAGTTTTCTATAGGGCATAACTTTTGTTTATAATGTTCTGATCAATTATTATTCTCTTCAGAATGGAACAAAAGAAGAGAAATCCGCTATCACTTCGTAAGCTACGCAGGTACATCAAACTCACCGTTGAGATGGAACGTTTGAAGGGGTTAAAGAAAGCCTTTGAGAACAAGGAGAAGATGGCCAATTTGGAATTGGCGATTGTTCTCACCAATGAGATGAAGGATTTGAAGGGGCTCAGGGATGTGTTTGAGGTCAACGAGGCGAGGGTCCGTCTAGAATTGGCGAGAGCTCGGGTTGATTTGAAAGCGTGTAAGGAAAAAATCAGAGAAAGTAAGGGGAAACTTTCAGATATGGAGCACCTTTTCCAGGGGATGGACACCATCTCTGTTTCAACAGAAGAAGAGTTGGTGTCTGCCTCTAAACTGATCCACACGAGGGGTGTGGGAGGTGGGAAGATGCAAGCTGAGATTGTTTACGCTCCGAATCTGACATTTGCTGCGCACTCAAAACTCAAAAGATTTCTCCTCAGAAAAGAAGATTCCCATTCATGGTGAGTTCCGATTTAATCATTGTTTACGACTTTAGTAATATTGTACTGTTTAGTAATACTGATTTTATGAAAAATTAGATCCAGATAGAGTAGTCACTTCTCAAAATTTGAGGACAGTTAGAATAGGCAGTTAAATAAGAGTGCAACTTTTTGTACTTGTCAGAAAGTTTTAGTAAAAAATAAAGAGGATTTGAGACAAGAGGATTATATCCATTGTTAGTACCAGGCTAGAATAAGAAAAAGTATAGCCGGATTACAGTTGTGGAGGGTAATCTGCTTTATAATTAAAGATGGTATTACAGTTGTGGTGGTTGTAAGAATTTGAATAACCAGTGGAATCATTTAACTAATTTTTTGATGCAGTGTTTTTTTTTCTTCTTATAGAGTATAAAGCGCGACGCTGAAGATGGATTGCTTGGATGTAAACACTTTTTGTAGTCTCTGTTGATCTTGTGGATATAAACACTTTTTGTAGTCTCTGTTGATCTTGTAAACTCTTTAATGTCTGGTATGGAACTCCGAAAAATGTTAAAAACAGGTGGCATGCCCTATAATTTGAGGGCTGTCGAAGGGAGTGGGACACCCTTCATGAGAGAGGGTCTTTTTTTAGTTTTATGAAAATAATAAGGGCTGTAGTCATATGCATGCTTCTAGCACTTGTTGGCAGGGACGTAACTTGCAGAAACTTTGTTCTGCATTGAGTTTGATTCAGCCAGAGGCTGGATGATCTGAGCTTGCTAACTGAGCCCAAAGGTGCAACCTAATCAACAAGGCACAAAGTTACAGCTAGTTTGGTACACCAAAAATGGAAGGAAAAGCAGGGAAAATCTTCATTTTCCCTGCTTTTCCTTCCATTTTTGGTGTACCAAACTAGCTGTAACTTTGTGCCTTGTTGATTAGGTTGCACCTTGGTTGCTTTGATGATCATCTATTTGTCTTCAGAACAGTTTGCATTTTTTTTAGACAGTAAAAGAAGGCCAATGCTCTTTTATAAGGGTTAGAAATGACATTATATATGTATATAGTTTATACTTTGTCTAGCTAAGGGTCCATAATCATGCAATCGCTGAGCAATAATAGGTTAATAAGTGTACATAAGTACAAAAGACGATGAATTTGAGTTCCTCAATAATGTCATTTCTAACCCTTATAAAAGAGCATTGGCCTTCTTTTACTGTCTAAAAAAAATGCAAACTGTTCTGAAGACAAATAGATGATCATCAAAGCAACCAAGGTGCAACCTAATCAACAAGGCACAAAGTTACAGCTAGTTTGGTACACCAAAAATGGAAGGAAAAGCAGGGAAAATGAAGATTTTGGAGGGATATAACAAGTCACACACACTAACTGTATATATTGTGCCTCCACCAATTCCGAACACTTAATCTCTCTATATTGGGGAATAGCTTATATTTTCATAAAAAATCATAAAAACTTCAAAGACAATAAATAAAATAAAAAAGTAAAATAAAAAACTCCACTAGATGAATCGATGTCTCCATTCTAAACTAATTATTAGTTGCCTGATGCAAAAGACATTGATAAATTTCAGGCTTAAAATAGAATAACAGACCAATAATAAAAAATGCAGGTCTATTAATACTTTAATAAATTCATTTTCACTAAGCCTAGAAAACGTGATCTGCATCAGAAATGGTACGAGATATTACCTGCAAATTAGAAATCCTGCAAATCCCTGTAAAAGAAAAACAAAGAAATACAAAATCAGTAAAATAGGCATAGAGATCGAGGAAGAGTATATATGAGCGTATATACATACATATATATAGAGAGAGAGATAGAGAAATTGGGGAAACGTCATAGGATGAGCATAATACAAGTAGGGATGGAGAAAGATGGAGAAACAATTTACAGAAATCCACAGGCACAATCAATATGCACGAAAAAAAAAAAAAAAAGAAAGATAAAATGGAGTATATAAAACTACACAAATGAACCGATAATGTATGTGTGTGTGAACATATAGAAATTAAGAAATTAGGGAAATCAGAGGAGCATAATACAAGTAGGATGTAAGAAGACATTGAAACAGTGTATAGAAATAGACATTGACAAAGGAGAAATCCACACACAGTGTCAATATGCACAAAAACACCGATAAAATGGAGTACATAAAAACAACAAAAACCATCCGAGTCACCGATTTCAACAAAAAGCAGTCAAGGATCTCTGGCCAGTTCTCACGTGAAATATGAGTCTTGTTAGGTCTTTTATTTCGATCAAATAAAAGGTGGATTTCCTTTCCTATCCCTTTCCTTTACTAATAAATGAGATCAAAGAGCAGTTTCAGAACCATTGAAATTGGGAGTCATTTTCTTACAAGAGTTCGAGATCTGAGAACCCCGATTCAAAATGAAGTGTGTGTGTGAATAGAGAGAGAACAGGAGAGGTGTGTTAGGAAGACAGAGACAAAATATAAAGAAATGTACATTTACAGAGAAGAAATCAACAAACACATCCAGTCAATATACATTTACCGAAAAATATACTAGCAAAAACAAGAGAAAATGGAGAAGAAGAACATAAACGAACCGATTATGTGTGTGTGTGTATATATATATATGTATCTATGTTGATCTCTAGAGGCAAAACGGAAACAAAGAAAAACAGTTGTACCTGATGAAATAGCCGGACAAGGGAGAGTTTACGGCGACCTCTCCGTCGACGGTAGAGAGAGAGAGAAGAGAGAGAAATAGTACTTCGTCAGGAAGCAAAAAGCACGCTCCCACTGTTTTATACAGTCTGCAGTGTAGTCTGGTCTAAGGCGGTCCGGACTTGAAAGCGTTATTCAATTAGATTGAATATAGAGAGAGGGAGAGAGTGTGTTTATTGGCAGTTTGTGCATATAAATTTATTTATTATAAAAATAAAATCTTTTTATATGTTTTTTTAGATAAAATATACTATTGGTTAGTGAATACCATCTTTGTTTTCAGCATATACATGTACGATATTTTTTTTTATTTTCTCATTGACTCAATTCAAAATTAATATATTACCTCCTTTAGCATTTTTTTAAGGATAAATCGTAAAAAAATCCTACTAAATTATATTGGAATTCACAAAAAAAACTCCCGAGCTATGTTCGAATTTACAAATAACTCTTTTAAAGTATACTTTATACATAATACTTCCTAAACTATCACATTTTGTTACAAAATGTCTCAATACCTTAACTATATTTCATTAAATGATTCTAGTGTCATTTCTTATTGAAATACTCTTAATCTATTTTTCTTATTGAAATAAATTATGAAAAGAAATTCATACTAATTTGTTAAAATATTTTTCATTAAATTTGTTTGTACGTTACAAGGTTGTTATATATGTGTATGTGTATGTGTGTGTGTGTGTGCAGGGATGGCAACGAGGCAGAGTTGGGGTAGAGTTGGCTTAATCCTACTCTGCCCAGTTAAAAAATCCGTCATACAAATTTCACTCCAACTCCAGGACGGGTTTATAATTGGTATACCATTCCCGCCCCTATTTCGGTAGACAAAACACTGACTCCGCCTCGCATACTCCGTTTAATTACGGTAAAGTTAAAACTATTAAATTAATTCATGAACTTGTGATAGAATACTAAGATCTTGAATCATTGATTGATTCTTGAAGATTGAATCACGTGCACAATTATGAAATTTTAGTAAGTGGTGATTCTAATGAATATTTAGTCAAAATATATTAATGGACACTTAACTTAAATATATATATATATATATATATATATATATATATATATATATATAAATAATTGATAAGTGCTCAAATGTGACGCATTTTAGAACCTAAGTTAGGGTATTTTAGTCCATTCATCTATCTTACTTTTATACCTTAGATACTTATTTGTGTTAATGTTTATTTCAAGTAAATAAAGGGCAAACAGGCTAACAAGAGCCATTTAAACCATTTTTGGAGCTAAGGAGCAAAGTTGGAAAGAAGCCAAGAAAATGCACCAGAGGTCCTTCGATCGATCGAAAGGGAGCTTCGATCGCTCGAAATGGACTTCAATCGATCGAAATAAAGACAATGCCAACTCAGCCAATGGGATAGACTCTGGAAGATATTTTGGGTGCCACGTCAGCTTCGATCGATTGAAGCTTAGTGTTCGATCGATTGAACATCTTCGATCGATCAAAGTTGCTGCTGGCAGTGAGCTGTCTACTTCCCGAACGGGCCATTTTCTACCTAATTGTGTAAGTTGCGAAATTCCTCCAATCAGAGGCTGTAATATATTCTAACTTGGTCCTTACTCAAAGGAGTATGTAATTGTTTTATTGAGCATTATTGTAGAGACATCATCATAGATTATTAGAGAAATATAGAAAAAATATTTTGTGCTCTCTAGAACTGGGTTTTTGGGAAGAAATCAAATATGAAAATTATGATGCCAACCTCTAAGCTAGCCCTTGAGGGTTCCATGACCACTATAATGAGTGGCTAAATCCTTCACTTGAGGCTAGAGATAGCCCCTAAGTTTGCTTCCTAGACCTAGTCTTTTGTATATTTTTGGGGATTTAATTGTAATAAATGTTTTGATCTTGGATTAATATATATCTTGTGGCTTCTACTTGATGTGTATGGATTTTAATGCTTTCAATTGATTCTCTATCTCTAACCATATGTTTATGTATGCTAGAATGGATGATTCACGTGTTTTTCTCTAGATTTAATGGAATTAATGCATGTTTATGTGTGTTGATGATGTTAATCTAGATATGATCAAAACATAGTACTTAATTGAACATTCTTGTGATTTATTTGATGGTTCACACTTATTTCTTGATGGATTGTACCATACCCTTAGTTTAATTAGTTTAAATTTCATGTCTCTAGCCTAGATGTAGTATAGTTGCTTTAAATTCTTAGAAAGGTGGATAATCTATTCTTGTTTCTTGGTGTTCCATACTTATGAATACAAATGATGTATGCTTCTAGATAATTGTGTGTGCATTAATTGTGGTTTTATTGAATGGAAATTGGTCTCATTTGATAGGTTGTGCTCTTCATTAAATTGGTTAGACAATTTATACTTATTCGTTATCTATGCTTAGTATCAATAGATGTCATACACACACCCAAGTTACAATTTAATTTCCCCATTAATGTACAATTACTAATGTCTAGTGAAGTCAAGCTTAGAGGTAAACTCTAAAGCCCCGAGTCCTCTTTCCTATATTTTTTCTCTATTTTCTAGATTGCTCTCTTTTACTTGCATTAATTTTAATTGCATTGTAGCTTAATTAACCAACCACCATCAATCGTTGATCATTCGACTTACTAATCCGACATTGATTTTCATCACAAATACACCTCATTTCCCTTGGGACGATCCCTACTTATCCTATCTATATTTTTAATTAGAGGTAGTTGTGGTTCGCTATAAATTTTAAGCTTGAATTGCCTCGATCGACCAATAATCGGGGTGGGGGCATCACTAAATCCGCCCCCGCCCTAAACCCGCTTCGGGTTTTCAATTCTTTTACCATATTCGCCCCAAACCCATTTATAGAACTACCAAATCCGCCCTATTAGGAGCGGAGCGGGGCGAAAACCCAGCGGATTGGAGGAAACTGCCATCCCTATATGTGTGTGTGTGTGTGTGTGGCGTGTATAGTCAGAAGAAAACCAAAAGAAAATACACACCTCCATGGTACGTGTCTTGGGTAGGGTCCAATCATTGTTATGTTGATATGTGGTACAGAGAACTGTATATGTCAATGTATGTGTGTGGCGTCACTAGCATGTGTATGTGGTGATCACGTCTGCGGCATTGAAATTTTTTTTTAAAACATATGTACCGTTTAATGGGATATTCTCAAAAAAAAAAAAAAAAAATTATGACTAACTGTGTAATATCCCTGTATTTTAAATGAATTATTTATAGGAATTAATTATTTTTATTTTATTTAAAAATAATTTATTTAATTTAATTGAAATTAATTGCTTTTATTTTATTTTTAAATGATTTGTTTTATTTAATTGAGTGCTAGATTAATTGTCTTATTTTAATTAGGTTATATTTCATGATTATGTATGATGATTGATTGTTTGTGTGCTTAATTATTACTTGAATTATTGGCGTGTTGATTTTATTAGTATGGTATGACTTAATTTTAAATTCTTGTTTGTTTATGTGCTTCATGTAATTAGTTATTTTAATTTAAATGTTTATTTAATTATTTTATTTATTTAAATTAATTGGATTGAACTTAAGGAAAGTTGGACCAAAGGATGTGATCTTGGACTTGGTTGAAGCCTTGTTGGGTTAATTAATAAAGGTTCGTGGTTATATGATAATTTAAATAATCATTTTTTGGATAATTATAAATATATATAATTAGATATATATATATATATATGTATATAAATATAATTAATTAATAAGTGCGTGGACGGATATATATATATATTGATTGATATATATAAGTATATATAATTTAATTAACTAATGATTAATTATGAAAGATATATATATATATTATTTAAGAATAATTATTATTTCTTTTATTTGGTAGTGATACTAGGAATATGATTAATTTATTTATGTGTATAAATATACACATAAGGTTTTATAGTTAAAAGTTTTCATGTTAGAAAAATAAGAGAGACAGAGAGAGAAGAAGAAGATAACGCTGACAAAGAGGATGCCAGATCGGAAAAAGAGGATGCCGGAATTGGAAGAGACAATCAAAGTTTGAAGTGTCGATTTCGTTTCGAAACCTTCAGGCGAGTTATTCTCTATCTTTACTCTTAGAATTCATAAGGATTTCACCTTAACTATCAAGACTTTAATTAAATTTATTGATTAAATCATGATCTAATGAATTAAAAATATGAAATATTATATTTTTATTCTTTTAAAATTTTGGTTTTTTAATATATCTATATATATATATATATATATATATATATATATATATAGATATATGTTGCATATATTTTATTAATCAATTTATAGGTGATTTATGACCCAAGTGGATAAATTAAGGTTTCTAGAAGTTTTGGCATTTCTCTTGAATTTTTTGAATTTTTTTAGGATTATTTTATATTTTCAGATTATTCATTTTGAATTGTTTTGTTAAATATTTATGCAAAATATATAAGGCTCTTGTAAATTGGCGCCTCAATAGGGAAATAATTCGGTGTGGGCATGTGCATGGGAAGATGGTGCACATGCCAATCAGGGCTATAAGATTAAGTAAACTTATGTGGATTGATATGGTGCGTCGCGGCGCATTAAAATTTGGTGTGCATGTGCATCTGGGCCATGAAGTGGTCTGGTTAACTGTGGGATTTTCTGGTGTAGCGCTGTAATACCTCTAATTTTAAAAAGATAGTCTCGGCATTTATTTATTATTTTTCTTGTATTTTTGCGTGATTATTTAGTTTAATTATTTTTATTTATTAATTTTATGTGATATGTATTTAGTTGGCATTTATTGTTTAAGTGTTTAATTGATTAATTATGAATTTTGTTTTCGTTAATTGTTTCTTCTTTTCTTTAATTGGGTTGTGTATTTAGTTATATGTGTATATTTGTAATTGGATTAATGGGTCATTCTAATGTGTAAATTGGTTTATTTACATATTTTAATTAGATTAAATTATAGTTTAAATTAGTATCAGTTACTGTATTAAAATAAATTACTAACTGGTCTAATTTTAAACAGTAAGGTTCCCTAAGAGGTTACGCGTATGTAGCCGAGTATCTTATAACCTAGATTGTTATATGGGCCGACTGACTAGAGTTTTAGGGCTCTGGCTGAATTAAACAGAG